GGATCATTTCATGCATACGAAACGGCAACAGAAGTGCACTTCGTGATTCTGGGCGACGCTTGCAAGGCTGTCAAAGGGACCAGATACGACGGGCACGTAACATGTGTCGTTTCTGCGTGGACCTAGTACTCCACGGCCCTCACTGAGCCCGAGACGTACCTGTTGCCGCTCGACAACGTGAGAGATCAGAACATGAAGCCAACACTCCCTTTAGCGCCTGAAAGGCTCTACACTGTTACGCTTGTAAAGCACTAGAAGCGCAAGCATACGATGCACTCACAGAATACTGGTCTGAGATGCGTTTTCGGCTACATAAGTGCTTTTGCGCCCTAGTAAAGTACGTATGCTTTGCCGTTGTCTTCACGTGAAGCACTAAGACCCGCTGCGAACGTTCCGACAGAAGGGGACCAGATACGACGGGCACGTAACAACACAGCAAAGACGCACCTGGATCATGAGGTGCCGGGAGTGACTCGGGCTCTGCATGGACAACGGCAGCGTGACAGATCAGAATATGAAGGCACCATTTATTTTAGTAACTTGAAAATCTTTGCACATTTCGGTGGTTGGAGTTCCAGAAATGCAGGTCAGAGTCAAAGCGTGGGCGTCCCCATGAGTTCGACCACATCAGTATAGGCATTAAATAGCTATGTAGCATATTGCCCATGTCGCTCGGCAAACTGGTTATGATTATTGCCTCAGTGTGCGTGAAAAGAAGGCCTATGGGGGCTTTTTGTATCCTTAAGTACCTTCTGAAAGTTGCTGTATTGACATTCTTGACGCCACAGGACCTGCACGATAAGTAGCCTGCACTTGCAAGAAAATCAGTTCGTGGGTGCCAGATGACGAAGGACTTCAGGCGCACAATTATACGCGAATTTACTCCCACGAATCGGTTGCATCATCTTGCAAGATACCCGTCATTGGGAAAGATAAATAGACAGATGGCTGCGTAGATTTGCGACGTAGTCAAGGCAAAGTGGATCCGCTAATAACTCAAACTAGCAACGCTCATTGTGCGTCAAACGAAAAACTTAGGAATAGCGTTGTCTTCTGCCCTGGAGAAGCTGCACTGGAATTAAGAAAGGGCACAAAGCACGAGTAGAAGTTCCACGGAAAATGCTAGAGACTTCAATTTCGGATTGCACTGACCTGTGTAAGGCAATTTCTCCTCAGCTGCAAGAACAGAGTACACACAGTGTAACGGGTGCACCAGTGTGCTATGAAAAGCTACGCACCCAAGCAGAAAGACAGAGCGACCAACCATCCCTTCCCACATGCGAAGAACTGCTCCAACGCTTATGATTATCTCATCAGACACGATTATGCATGCTGCCGAGGAAACCAAAGTCTCGAATGGTGATGATAAGTTGTGTCCTATATCTAGATCGCACACAGCCGCGCCATGTACTCGCAACAAAAAGAAGGCATCACTCAAAAAGCGTGCCGCCACCGTTATGGACATGGATTAAGGTGTGGCTGAAAGCTTACCTTGCGGCGCGGGATCGGGGTCTGGGGGAAAACAAGAGCAAGGAAAAACAAGCACACCATAAGAACAGGCATTTTGCTCAGTGAGCTACATGTGCAACGGTAGGCAATAGCTTCCGCTCGCACGACTTGTGGAAGGTTATAGCTTGCGAATTCCATACGCGTTCCCGTGGGAACTCTTAAATGCAAAAGTGCTAGAGCATACTGGGGTAGACAATTGCGAGCATTCGTCTAGAGCCAACTTTATGCCCTCAAGAATTAGCAATTGCTACTAGCCCGAAGAATGAAACACAGGTGTTCGGGAGAAAGCTGCGTAGTGTCTAACATACCTCTTGATGGCGCTGTGCCGGGTAGGGATGCAGACTCTGCGTGAAAGCAAAAGCATGTGCACAGACCAGCTATCAGCTCTGCGGCCACCCTTAGAATCTGCATACGCCTGCTGCTCTTTTCAGCAATGACACAGGCAGACAAATGTAAGAAGATCTAACACTCAAAGTAGCTGAATTGCTGAGCAGCTCGGCACGGCACTTAACTCAAAAACTAAATTGCCTTTGCCTGCAAAACGCCTGGCATCGACTGAGACGCCTAGACGCTCCACGATGAACACGAATTTACAGATTTCCATGGGAAAAAATGTTGCTTTAGTACAAAGTTAGCACATTAACAACAAATAGGTAGATAAGTCGATGAGCAAAGCGACTGATGTACGCGAAACCTAGCTAACAAAGCAGTAATGGCTTGCGATGGGAACCGTGTTGCAAGGCGGTGAGCGCAGATGTGGTCACAGACGTGCCTGATGGATCCGAGACAGTGAGGCTCAACAGTTCATCAGACGCTGCAAGCACAACCACACACCCTGCTTAGAACTCACCCAATAGGCGCACGGCCAGCCGTTTTAGTGCTTGCGCGTTACTTGCCACACATGCACAGGTCCGTGTTTCCTTCGCGAGATGAAGTACAGAGAGATCACAAACCTTGATTTTATTTATGTTTTTACATGGCAGTTCAGCAACCTAAGATGGATCCCTAGTTGCCAAGCAAGAACACGACTGCCCTGTCCTCCAGAAGCCGTAAAGGCATTCACTGTGAAAAATACGCATTGAACGTCAAGCACGGTGTAGACAGATACATATCCACTGATAACATACCTGTTGAAGAGTTTGACGTTCCTGGTCTACCCCCTGAAGTTGCAACGAAGACACAGACAAGAGCTACACGCCACAAAATCACGACAAAACTTGTTGTACTGCAGAGTTGCACAATTTTCTTAGGTAGTAGCTGCACTTTTTTCCGCAGATCAATGTGATGGAGTCTCTTGAAAACAATCCGCCATCACGCGTCCCTGAAACACTTTTGCTGGTGATATCCTTTAGCTCGGATACCGCAGCTAGAAGTTGGGCACAAGACGTTCCCTCGTGCCAGGAATATGGGAAAGAAATCACTGTGCAGAAAATATTGCGGCTGCTACCGTTGCTCCATATTTCCATAGCAGAAGTGCTTGCGACAACCGCAAAAAATATGCACGCGCGTTTCAGACAATTAGTTGGCCATTTCAACCCCGCACTTCAAGTGGAACCAAGCACAGTTGCATGTGCAGATTTTGCATGTGAGAAGCATGCACCATACAGTTGTGACCTGAAGCTAAGAGTTTGCGGGCTAGGAAGAGAATTCTGGGATGGCTAATCGTGGCTGGCTAAGCCTTCGGATTTAAAAAAAAAGAATTGGCTTAGCTTGGAAACCGGACTACAAGAAGGAAGTTTCGCCTTTGGTATTACACGCACTTGATGGGGAAAAGAGCGTTATAGAGCTGCGAGCTGCCAAGGGGCACACACAAGCAAGGAAGCACACGACAAAAGGGGGATATCTGCCAACACAGCCAGTCAGGAGCATACAACGATTGAGCGCGGTATCGATAGCTAGAGCTGCTCCTACAGTAGTGCGCTGGAATTTGTAAGCCCAAAGCCGAGATGCTGAACTTGGTGAAGAAATTAGAAGTAAAAGATATCATTAATTTGGTGGACACTTTGATGAGAAGTCTAGCGTGGGCGACTCATCCGCAAGTGAAAAATCTCGCCGCTAGCAAACCAATAAAACACGATTACAGTACGAAACTCACCTTTTTTAAGACCTCTGTGCCTGGGACGCCCTGCAGAAACACGAGTGCAAACAAAAGGCTGCAAGAGTGCAGGGTAAGAGGGGCGAGTAGCGTTTCCATTGAGCTAAGAGTGCAATAGTAATCGCTTGTGGCAGCGCTGCTACCCATTTTGCCTCTGGATGCCCGTAGGGGCCAAGCTTATCCCGCTTTGGTAGAGCCCTTTGCGTTTCGCTGAAAACTAACACTCGCTGAAACAGCTAGGTTATTTCGACATCGCATTTCAGTTGACACCAGCTGCCTGCAAAATATATTAGCCAATCCAGTTACTAGTTGGAGTAGGCGCAACTTCATTGTTCCTGTAGCGAGCTGAAAACTTGTGGGCAAATCTATGGTTTAAGCGCACTTGGGGGAGGCGTTTGGGGCGTGGGATGATGACCTACAAAAAAGTCAGAAAGACAACAAACGGACAACGATTATAAGCTGTGGCGCCATGAAAGAAATCTTAGTGGCAAGGAAAACTTTTATTCAGAAAACTGTATTCAATTGCGTAGAGACAGCCTCAATATCAGCTGCGCAATGGAGCCCAGCGTAGGTATTATAGCTACACAAGTGAGCTAGTAGACGCATGTGCTTTAAGAGGCATACTCGGACGTGTTCCGTGCGGCGCTGGCGAAGCTGCAGACAAAAGGCGCACAAGCTGCACAGAATAGAATGAAGGGCAGCGCTTCGTCTTGAAAATACTAATCGGCACAAGCAGCCACGACGGCTAGTAGAGAGTGTTGGATTTGCTCAATTCCTGGAAGCATCCGCCTTTGGCAGTCGTTTCATGCGTAGATATCGCCCGTGCGTGTACACGCATCACTCCTTTTTTTTCCTTAAAAAAATACTCAGGAGCAGTGTGTTTCGGCCGTCAATTCATGCTTCGGCAAAAATGGCTAAAATCAAGAACAAGGCACAAGCAACTTGCCCAGCTGTCCACACAGCGCCCTTTACGCTTCGCCACAAAAAAGCGAGCAGCACAGGCATGAGCAGGCACGAGCATAGACGCGTAGATCACTTGCAAGTTGATTTAAAGAGCTCAGGCAGCAGAGCTGTGCTTTCATGTGGATATTGCCTAGAGCTTCATATACTACGTGGAAGAAGCTACTGTTGGTGGCCTAGCGTGCCAAGCGAAAAGCGGCACCCGATTAGGTTTCAAGTAAAGGCAGGTGTAAAGGCTCATGACTGTAGTCCTGCACGCACGCTCGTCCATAGGAGCTTGTGCTAGGCCTGAAGCTGCCAGGTCACACAAACACGCACACGGATCAAGCAAGCTCGTACGGCGACTCGCCAGAACACGGCTCTATTGAACAAAGCACAAAAGCAAGCCCAAGGGGATGCTTTGGAAAGCAGTCCAAGTTTAGTGGTATGCTAAGCAATTTAGACGAGGATTCCAAGTACACAAGGTGAGGACACCATGGAATAAAACGCGTAGAAAATAGTGTGGAGAAAGAATGGGACACGATACGCTTCATGTTGAGATACACCGATGCAAATTCACAAGAATAAGCAGCTCGCTAGTACACGGCAGAGTAAAGTAAGCACAGTTAAGTAAGTGCGGCAGGTAGCTCACATTCTTGTCCTTGCTTCGGCGTCGAGTCACTGGAGGGTGCTGCAATCAGAGATACACGTGCAGCAGTTAAAATGAAACATTCAGGAAATTTGATGAAAAGGGAGAAATACAGACATGGATTCGACAACCAGTGGATCAAAAAAAAGCAAGGATAGCCTATGGTTCATGTGTAGAGGTTGGCTTAGAGCTAAGAGTAGAGAGATCCAGCTAAAGTGTAACGCCTACATGGTACTCCCAGGCTTGGTGAGGTGACAGCTGCGAGGAGGGACAGAGACAAACAGGGAAGCCCGTGAACGCAGCACGCGGGACAAGCACTAGCGTATTTGGCTTCTCACAAAAAAAGAATAGTGGCATGGGAAGGCTTTCACTAGGCGACAATGCGTGGATTGTGCTTACAAACAACAGTATCGCAAAATACTTACATCTTAGGAAAGGTTTTCTCTGTCTTGCTTGCCCTGAAAAGAAGGCGCCGCAATCAAACACAAGCGCAGCAAGAAAAAAGAAACAGAGCGTGCTCAACAACTCAAAGGTACAAGGAGAAAGAGCGCCTTTGGAAGGCTTCTGCTAAAGCCTCGAGAAAAGCTCGCACCTGTGCCGCTCTGGCATGCCTCTGTGAAGAATTCACCACAAAACTTCATAGGTTGTATCAGATAGCATGTTCACTATAATGGCAAAGGGATCTGGCTTCTGATTATGGTGGTGCAACTTGCTTTTCAGCAGATTGGTTGCAAAAACGATAGGCTATATTTTGCGGTATCCAGTGCACTTGAAAGAACTACTTTTCCAGATCATGATGCTGCAGACGACGGACAATAACATGAAGCGAACAAACTATCTCAGAAAGCTGACACCATTTTGAACGGATTCATGCTATGACAGTCAACGGCACATTTCAGTCGAAGTAGTCCATCCCACTTCGCCGCAACCAGCATGACTGCATTCAAGTAATATGCGTGTCTCTCTTTTCTATCATGTGGTTTTCACGCGAGTATTAAATACCATCAAGATTCGACACAAAAGCGGGCATTCGTTTCAGAAAACGGCGTTCTGTTCAGGACATGGGAAACAAATGGGCGTCGACTTGACAAAACAACAGAGAGCTTGACGAGAAAAGTGAAATGAAGCGCAAAGCGGGCTTGAAAATGCATGAGCCGGATCCACTACCCCGCAATTAAGTTTTCAAGGCTGCAATTACAAGAACAAAGACGGCTAGGGGCAGTACCATTTCCGCCACCTGCTCTAACGCTTGTCACTGCGCAGCGCCGATAGA